ATCATCGGGCAAGTTAATTAATCTTTCTCTTCTGTAGGATGAATGTAATAACACCTATAGGCAGGGGTGGTGAGGCTTAGGAAGCATCTGATTCCTCCACACAGTGCCTGGTATATGACAGCACAGGCATTCAACTGAGATGTCTAATACACAACTCAAATGAAATGGCCAAAATTGGAACTCTTCGTGTCTCCCCCATGACACACTTGCTGGTGTCTGTCTCCAGTATTCCCCACCTGATTAAAAGGCATCGGGGTCTGCCCCTTCCTCATTCCCTTGACCACCCTGCCTCCTCACCACCTCCCTGCAGTGTGTCCCCCGCACTGGGAAGGAGCTCACTCCTCATCCTGGTTTCCAGATGCCTCGCCAGCCCCATCCCATAACTCCGCCTCCCTAGCTCACTCCAGCCTCTGTGCCACCCAAAAATGGCCCTGAAGTGACTTTTCCCAGGATCTGGTAGAGTTCTGCTTCCAGTTAGTTGGGTCATGGCTTAAATGTCACCTGGGAAAGGCCTTCCCTGAGCACTGAATCTCAAGTCACCCCCATGTGTTACCCTATTTGGGTTCTCTAAGGAGTGTTCATCACTGCTACTTGTGTTATGTCTCTGCCTCTAGACCAAAAGCAGGACTTTGTCCTGTTTGCCATTGCCTTTTCCCTCCACCAGCCTGGCATGTGGGACACTGTCATTTCTTTACCAAGTGAATGGATTCCGCAAATAATAGCTGCTCTGTTATCACCATTAGAACTGGCATGTGTTTGCATGAGCTAAGATACAGTATGTATGTGATATTTATAGGTTAAGTAAGAAAATAAGATTTAAAAAATGGATTTTGGGGATTTGACGGCAACTTTACTGAAGTAAGGACCCTAAAATCAGATCTTCGTTATTTTTCCTCTCCTGTTGGAAGACCTAACAGGAGTTGATTGATGTATGGAAGCCAGAGGAAGCTGTTAATGGATATGAGAGTAGGGCCTCCTTCCTCTTAAATCTTCCGCACCCACACAAGTTCTACGTGGTACGCTACAACTGTCCTGCCTGATAAATATAATTGAGAAACGAGTAAGCCCAGAACAGCGTGAATTAAAAATCCTCCCTCTTCCTTTTAGACAACTTGCAAAGCCTACCCCTAGTGTCACCAATCCACGCCGTTGAGGAGTACAGACAAGAGATTAAAGAGGAGCTCATTCCTTCCACTTCTCCTCGGCATGTGCACAAATGGGCCCCTCAGGCCTTAGAGTCCAGACCTAGTGTCTGAATTCTTCTGCATTATTTAAACTGCTTCTCTCCTGGTACGTTCTGCCTGAGCAGTAGCCCCCACTCTCATTTTCTGAGCATTCCCACAGACCAGGGGCTTGAAAGATCCTCATTACCTGAAATAGGACCGTGGTTACAGATCTCTGCCTCTTCCCTCCTTATGCAGGATGGCGCTCCTTGGGGTAGATGACATGGCGGTTTAGTGAACTCTCTTGGTCCTCTGCCAGGGAGCCCCGGGGAGAGGGCGGTTAGGTGTCAGAGAGCCCCAGACAGTTGTAGAGAAGGGGATGGAGAGAGCAAGCAGAGTCTCAACTGTTTGCCTTCCAGGTCCTCAAGCCCATGTTGGGAAACAGCGATCGTGGGGACCATTTTTAATAAATCAACTCTTTTTGCACATTGGCTCCCATTGATGAGCTTGAGGGCCCTTCACTGCACTGTTATTGCACACTTTCTATATTCTAGTCTCTGGAGATGGAAAGGAAGATGAATATACCCTTAAGGAGCTCACAGTCAGGTGGGAAACAGACACATAAATAATGACGGACTGGACACTGGTCCACTTGGGAACAGATGTGTGTACCAGGAGCTCCTAGTTACATGTCCCCACCCGTACCCACCCTCTGGTTGCCAGAGCCCTCTTCACGCCTTTTCCCTTGGCTGTCTCAACACACCCAAGGCGTCCCCTCATGACATCCCCTCCCCACCGTTCCTGCTTGTCATCTCAGTGTATGCATCTCTATGGATCTGTAAACCCAGGAGTCTCTTGATCCCTCCTTACTTACCCTGCACTCACCTCCTATCCCTTTTGCCTCCTAATCACTCCAGTGCATCTTCTCTTCATCTCCATTGTCACCATCCTGATCCTTACTACTATTATCTTTCATCTCCTCATCTCATCTAATTGATCCTTCCAGATCGCCTTGAGCCCCTCCAAAGTGTTCTTCACAAATGGGATCACTTAACACTGGTGCCTGTCCCTTTGCCCCCCTACTCACTCACTCACTCTCTCTCTCTCTTTGCCCCCCCTACTCACTCACTCTCGCTCTCTCTCACGCACACATGCGCGTGCACACACACACGCGCGCTCGCTTGCACGCACTCTTACATGTTAAGATCCATGGCTTTCTTGCCCCCCTACTCACTCACTCACTCTCTCTCTCTCTTTGCCCCCCCTACTCACTCACTCTCGCTCTCTCTCACGCACACATGTGCGTGCACACACACACGCGCGCTCGCTTGCACGCACTCTTACATGTTAAGATCCATGGCTTTCTGACGCATTTAGAATAGCAAAGTCAGGCTGGATGTGGCACCTACCCATCTCTCCAGCCTTGTCCTGAACAGTGTTCCCTGTCCTCAGCACTCCAGCCCTACTGCCTTCCTTTTTTATTTTAATGTTTATTTTGTAAATTATCATACAGTAAAATTGACTCTTTTTTGATTTAGTTCTGTGAATCTTAAGACCATACTAATCTTTTAAAACCTTGACCACACCTCGCACCTTCTTGCCCCGAGGACTTTGCAAATACTTTCCCTCCACCAGCCCCCTCACTTGGTGAGGTCGCTTCTCCCTTCAGCTCAGCTCAGAAATCCCTTCCGCAGAGGTCTCTGATCTCCTATACTAGGGCGGCTTCTCTTGCTGTATGTCCTCTTGTGCCATGTACTTTTCCTTCACAGCATATTGAGTGATGATTTTAGATTCGCTAGTGGATGAAGGTCCACCTCCTTGACTAGATGGTAAGATCACTGTTAGCAGAGACACTCACCACGGTATCCCCAGTGCCTAGGACAGTGCACACCCCTTCCTTAGCAGGTGCTCCGTAACAGAGTAATATGTCACTTGTGCAGGAGGAACTAGCCCCTGCCACACGCCCCAGCTCTGCTGCCTGACTTTAGGGAGTGGCTTAGTGTCACAGAGGGAGCCTGGTTTGAAAATCAAACAGACTCATTTTGAATTCCTCCATCTCTTTTTGAAGAACTTGACATAGTCTGATTTTTTTTTTAAATGAGTATTATGAAACCTACCTCAGAATCCTATAGTCAAGATTAAATGGGGCAAACTCTATGAAAGTGTCTGTTACATAATAGGTACTCAATAAATGGCAGCCTTCATTCCACCCATGGGGGTGGTGGGGAGACTGTTCCAGAGAAAGAGGCTAAACAGTGCTCAAGGTGTTATGTCCATGCAGAAAAATTACAAAGCCATAGACAAGATATTGTCCTGCTCTGGGACTGTGTTCCTTTATGCCAATGCACTTCCTTGCTGGCTTATTTATCACATGCTGTTTTAGTATCTCCTACTTACACCTTTGTGCAGGCTCTGGGGACTCAGAAGTGTGCCAGCAGCCTGCCCCGGAAGCCCTGTGGTGCACTGGGGCAACAGGCAAACAGGTCAAAGCCGGTGCTGAGCAGGGCCTGTGGGCACAGTCAGTTCTTAGTCTGCTGAGCAGGGAGCTGCTCACTTCCCTAGGCAGGTGCAGAGGCTCACAGAAAAGGCCCAGTGAACCTGGGGTGTCCTCCAAGTTGCAGCACTGCTGCCACCTCGCCAAAGAGCTTTACAGCCAAGTCCCCGGCTGGTGGAAGTGGAGCTAAGAGCTTTAGTACAGAGGCTCCCTCCCAGAGGCAGCACTGAATTCAGAACTGACTTCCCCAAGGTGTTCGCGAGTGTACACGGGCTTCTTTTCTTGTCACAATACTGGGAAACAAGAGGGGCTTGGGGGGCAGGATCCACAGATGCTAAACGCCCTGCAGCGTGGGGCGGCCCTCCCGGTGAAGCAGGGTCTTCCCAGTTGCCAGGAGACTCTCCGCCCCAGCCTCTCCCCAGGGGAGAAAGCAGGAGGGGTCCTGGAGCACGGTCTCCATCGCCCTGCCTTCCCCACGCCAGGCTGATCTGGGAAGCAGAGAGAACAAAGAACAGCGGAGAGTCCGGGTGCTGGGTGGAACTGGGGCAACACCTCAGAGGGCCGGGCAGGCGTCAGGGAGAGAAAACCATTCCCTCGGAAACCTCTGATGATGACCTGTCTGTCTCCCGCTTCTCTCTTGAACCTCCGTGCAGGGGCATTTCTTCTGGGAGGAATCCTCTACTCCTGGCAGTTTCCCCATTTCAACGCCCTGAGCTGGGGCCTCCGCGAAGACTACTCCCGGGGAGGCTACTGCATGATGTCTGTCACTAACCCGGGCCTGTGCCGGCGCGTGGCGTTGCGCCACTGCCTGGCCCTGATCGGACTGTCCACGGCGGCCCCCGTCCTCGACGTCACCACGTGGGCCTTCCCGGTCTTCTCCCTCCCCATCAACTTGTATATTTCCTACCTCGGCTTTCGGTTCTACGTGGATGCGGACCGGAAGAGCTCCCGGAGACTGTTCTTCTGCAGCCTGTGGCACCTGCCCTTGCTCCTGCTGCTCATGCTCACCTGTAAGCAGCCGCCAGGTGGGAGCCACGACAAGGGAGACCCTCCGAGCTGAAATCAGATGAGCATGTGGGAAAAAAACAAAAATCGTACGGGGGGAGACGATTTATTTCCCTTTACGGTTAGGCAAGAATATTTTGATAATTCTGGAGCATAAGAAGAGAAATCGCTGGTGTTAGCACAAAATTGTAAAATAATTTGGTGCTCAGTGATGACTTTAAAAAAAAAAAAAATCCAAAATGCTCCCCAAATAAGAAATGGGTTGGCTCAGTTGATCAATTCAAAGAAAGAATATTGTTCTGTTTGAGGGTCTTTATACATCTCTTCCTCCAGCCCCACCCCCCGCTATTTTTGTTCTTCCTTGCATGGATGTACACACGCACATCTGCCTTCTCTGGCTCCTCCTGCACACACGCGCACACACACATATACACACACATACTCACCCCAGCTGCCAGCTGGAGTGGCAGTTGGTGGCCAGACAAGGTGAGCACTCTATACAGAACTATAGTTCTGTATCCCTCAGTCCCTTGAGGGCCACGGCAGAGGAAATGCACACACTGTAACCCAAATCACCCCCTTCCCTGTGAATAAGGCCCAGCTCTGGCTTGCTCCACCCCACACATATTCTCACCAACAATAAGACAATACAAAGGATGGGTTTGGAGGGGGGATTCCAGTGGTTGCCTGGGAATCTCAGTTTGGACCGCCAACCCTGACCCCCCCCACCCCCTTTACATATCAACCTTTTAAAACTCCAAGGAATCAAAGGCATCTTTATATTTCACTTTAAAATACAGGCGCTATCTCAGCATTTCTTTCTTAATAGTCAATACCAGAAATCCCTCCGGCTGTGGTCCCATTACTGTACCTCTTGAGTCACTCCTGTGGATCGGCAGCTCTTCTTTGCTACACGACTTTCTCACATGTGTGAGAAGTTAGAAGAACATTCTTGTCACTCTAGTGACAAATACATTTCCACCCAGGTATCTCCTGAATTCAGAAACTGGCCTCCACAGGGCCGATGGCTTTAATAGCCAGATGCACGAGTTAGGCTCCCAGTGGGAGTGGTTCTGGTTTTGGGAGTTTTGTGAGTTACCTGTAGCCAGGTGTGGTCTCAGGTACTGAACAGTCACCTATAGTTCCTCAGTCCTCACCCATAACCCCACAGGTCCACGTAGATCCCATTTTCTTGAAGGTCTGGAAGCTTGACAGGATGTTTCAGTTACTCAGTCTCCCAGATCTCATGAGGTTTAAGCAACATTTAAACAGTCATTTCAATATGCTTGTTCTGCAGAAATTTCTAAGATGATTGCAGATTGCATTCAATCCCTGTTCCTATTATCTGAACTATTACCTCTTGGCTATCTCCAGGTTATTTATGTGGGGAACATGGCATTGGGATGTCTACAAAGAGCATCCACAACTCGTTGCAGCTCTCACATTGTAAAACGCATTGACTCTCTTTTCCTTCTGCAGTAAAGCAGTACGTAAGAACAGGAGTGAGTGTGATTGTACCATCTTGTGCCGAGCTGCCATGGGTCTTGACAACACCTGACTCATACCTTCACACGGGGCACATGGGGATTTCTTGGGTTTTTTTAATTTTTATTTTTTTAATTGTAAATTGACAAATTATAGTTGCATATATTTATGGGATACAAAGTGGTGTTATGATTTATCAACACAGTGTGGGATAACTAAGTCAAACTAGTTAACATATTCATCACCTCACACGCTTATTTTTTATGGTGAGAACATTTGAAACTTACAGCGATTTAAAATGTACAATACATTATTATTTACTATATTTACCATGCTGCACAATATATCTCAAAAAAAACCCCTGATTTCTCTTGTCTCATACCCTCTCCCCATTCCCCCAGCCACCCAGCTCTGGTAACCACCATTCTACACTCTGTTTTTAGGAGTAAAATTATTTTAGATTCCACACATAGGTGAGAACATGCAGTATTCATCCTTCTGTGCCTGGCTTATTTCACTTAGCATAATGTTCTCTAATTCCATCCATGTTGTTGCAAATGACAGAATTTCCTTCTTTTTTTAAGGTTGAATAGTATTCCACTGTTCACATATACCACATTTTCTGTACGGTTCATTCGTTGATTAACACTTAGGTTGATTTCATACCTTGGCTATTGTGAATAGTGGGGCAGTGAACATGGGAGTGCAGCTATCTCTTCCACATACTGATTTCAAATCTGTTCGGTAAATGCCCGGCAGTGGTATTGCTGGATCAAATGGTAGTTCTATTTTTAGTTTTTGAGGACCCTCCATACCGTTTTCCATGTGGCCACACTGATCTGCACTCCCAACAGCAGTGTGCATGGGCTCCCTTTTCTCCACACCCTCGCCAGCACCCACCTTTCATCATTTTGAGAATATCCATTCTGACAGGTGTGAGGTGATATCTCGTGATTTCAATTTGCATTTCCCTAATGATTAGTGGTGTTGAGCATTTTTTTCATATATCCGTTGACCATTTGTATGTCTTTTTTTGGAAATGTCTGTTCAGGCACATGGGTATTCCGTGCTTCAAGGTGGTGAAAGTGAGCACCTTGGATTTGATACCTGTATACACAAAGGATAATAAGCAGAGGGCTGTGAACACCATCTCCACCCTACTGTTCTCAGAACCATCCAGTCTCTCCCCGCCCCTGCCTTCAAACCATCACCAAGAAATCTTCCTGGGGCCTCTTTAACTTGTCATTCTCCTGCTCAAAAAATCCGTGTCATGAAAATCCCAGTGGTATGCCATGTGCAGGCCACAGGAAGTCTGGAGTCTCCACACTCAAGCTCCATCTTGCTCCCCAGTTTTCTCTCCAGTCATCCCCCCCCCCCCCAGGGCTCCCTCTGCTCAGAATGACCCCACCACCTCCCAGACCCTCCCATCTGTATGTCCCACACCCCATGCCCCACCATCCTCCCTTGCGGGCAGTAGCTGGCTCGGGCTCCTGTGGCCAAGCATTTTCTCACCCATGAGGCATTCACCTTTACTGATCCCGTGGGGACTCTGCTCATTACCAGTTGCAGGAAGCATTTGTCCTTCAAGGGTTCTTTAATCAATTATCTTTGGGAAATACTGCCCACTGCAGCTCTGTTGGAGAGTCCCAAAGCACATGCACAACCATAGTAAGGCCTCAGGGAACTCAAAGTTTTAAAAAAGAAAAGAAAGGCTGAGTTTGTATAACTGAGCATTTCCCAAACCTGCTAAGGCCTGAACCCTCTCCCTGTGCAACACCTCCCAGCCCTGGAGTGGCATCAGTGGTCAGGGGAGCAGCCCGGGAAAGGCTGGCCAGATCTAGAACCCAGGCTCCAGGCTTTTCACTCGGGTCCTGCAGGCCAGCCCATGGGGGCTGTAAGTGTAGGACTAGGCCGGCTGGGTGCAGGTGCTGCACAGTGCAGTGGAAAACTGATGAAGGGAAAAAGCCACACATCTGGTCCCTTAACTACCATTCTTAACAGCATGGTTCTTAACCCAGAGTCCTGACTCTGGGAGAATGGTAACAACTTCCTTTTATTTTAGTAGACCCACTCCATCAGTTAAGATAAGACCAAATTTCTCTAAAGGGTCCTTGTTTGTAGCCTTCAGCTGTGAGAGGAATGCCACTGCCCTTTTTTCTTTTCAAACATAAAAATGGGATCCATCTTGCCCAGCAGAGACACATCCCTTACATGCGCTTGGAGAGGCCTCCGCCCCAATGCTGGAGGAAAACACAGAAGTGTGGCAGCTGTGCCTGCTTTCAGTATGTGGAGGGTTGAGTTTCCCTCTTCGGTCCCCCCTGCCCATTCCTTTTCACCTCCCATTTGCTTTGCTAAGAAAATAGCTGGGCCTCAGCACTGCTTTGCCCAGTGGCATGGCCACTGCAGAGCAAAGCTTTCTCTGCTTGCTGACCCTGGTGTGATGGGAGACTCACTGGAACCCAGGTCTCAGTCCTGACACCCACCTTAACTTCCCCCCACCTTCTCTTCCCTCCCGCCCTTCCTGGACACAGTCCATGTGCTAGGACAGCCATGAGGATGAGGCCTCCCTGTTACTGACGACTGCAGAAGGAACTCTGGGAGAAAAGTTTTTGGAAAATGCCTGCTTGACGCTTCTAATGACACAGCCAAAGAGAACTCCTCATTTGCCTTGGATGAAGAACTGGGTTGGGTGGGGTGCTGGCTTGGTTTTTCTCCCTGGAATTCAAGGCCAGCTAGTGATCACCCACAGAGTTCTTCATCTGTTGGAGGCATGTTTTCTCCATCTATCCACTAGGTAGGACCAATGGTGTCAACCAGCAAGGCTACTAAATAAAAAGCAAGTGGAAAACAAACAGGCTCCAGCAGTCACTTTGGATGTCTGGCATGCTATTTTTGGTCTTTTCCCTCAGCCATCAGACTTTTTAAATAGTTTAGGTCTGCCTGCCTGGAGTGGAAGCGAACTGAGAGCAATATACCTGCTTCTCTGTCAGTGGAAACCCGAATATAACTGATCTCATACTGGAGAGATTTCTTTTAGCATCTTTTGGCCATGGTTTCCTAACTAACCATAAGAGGTGAAGATACGTTCTGGGTTAAAGAGCCTCTGCCCTTCATGTCCTAATTCAGGTTCTGCCACCCACTAGTTGGACCCGCCATGCACATCACAGGACATCTGAGAGCCAAGGCATTTGATGGCATGTGGCAACCCACATTCTGCCTGGGTCAAGCTCGCTCTGTGACCCGTAACTGGAACCACCAGGTTGAGCACTTGGAAAGTGAATCCCTACTCTCACAATCGCTCACCTTCACCACCACCAGGTTGTTTTTTGTTTGTTTTCTTTCTTTCTTTTTTTAGTGGCTGGCCAGTACAAGGATTTGAACCTGTGACTTGGCATTATAAGGCTACACTCTAAAACCAGGTTGGTTTAATTGCCCATCTCTCCCAAGACACAGGCCTACAAGCCCCCTCTTACCTTACCTTCCTCCTTTTCCTTTTGCGTCTACGCTGCCTGCTCTTTTAAAATACCAGGCAGATCATGCCACTCCCCTGTCCTCCATCCTGCAGGGGTTTCCCTTCATACCAGGAATAAAATGCAAAGAACTTACAGTGGCCTACAAGGTCACGCAGAATCTGGCTAGCTCCCCTCTCTGAGCTCGGAACTCCCTCCTGTCCACAGGTCTCCTGGCTTTTCCTCAAATTCTCGAAGCGTGCCCCCTTTAGTACATGCCCACCTCCTGTTCTTCCTGCTCGGGGGCCTCCCTCTATCTCTTCTCATGGGTCCCCTCCTAATTTTATTGAAATAACACTTTAGAGAGGCCTTCCTTGGTCACCTAATTAAATAGCACCCCCCCCCAGCACTTACCGCTTTCTTGTGCTTTGTTCTTTCTTCCTAACATTTATCCCTGTTTGACATTCTGTGTCTGCTTATATATTTCATTACCTGTGTATTATCTGTCTTCTCCCTGGAATGTAAGCTCCATGAAGGCAAAGACTTCCTCTTTGCAGTGCTTTACCTCCAGCATCTGGAACAATGCTTGGCACAGAGTAGGTGCTCAATGAATATATTTTGAAGGCATAAAGAATAACTCCTTCTGGATTATATGAAGCCCTGTGGTCAGAGGAACAGCCTGGGATAAAGAATGAACTGATTTGGAAAGGTGTTTATGGCATGTGGTTACATGAGAAAAGACGGCTTTGAGATAGTCCTTATCCGGCTGGTACAATCCCTGTTCCCACCCCTGACTACAGGACTCTGTCTGGGGACTGCACCAACCAGAACACACTCCAGTATTTCCCAGCCACCAGCCCACAACTTCCCCTTGTTTCTGGAATTTGCCTTCTCTGACTTCAAATCAGCACCCCACCCACCACCATTCCTGCCATATTTGTCACCTACAGCACCTATAAGTATGTGACACACACGCCTCCCTGACCTGCTTGCTGACCTCTGCCCCTGCCCCCCACACCACCGTTAGACTGCACACCCACTGAGGCAGGAATGTGCGTTTCTCACTGCCGCATCCATGGGCACCGAGAACAGAAGGCCATCAATAAATGACCACATGATAGATGTTCCATCATTGATCCCAAGTGGCTTTCAGGGAGCCCTAGAAGGTGGGGAGATTGGCACACACCCGCCCACGTGACAGATGCATCTTCTCACCAGTTTTGTGAAGAAAATTGGCAGGGTTGAGCCAAAACATGTTACTATCACTTCTTTCTAGTTTCACTCATTTGTCAGTTTTTGTTTTCCAAACTGTGGTAAAATGTCATCATTATCTGTATCTTCAGGGCTATCTTAGCTCTGCGTAGAGTAGCAGAGAGTCTTTAATCAAGTAAATGAAGTTGGACTCTTGGCCAGCATTTCTCTTTGGCACTGTTTCTCTCCCCGCCTCTAACACATTTTTCAGATGTGTTAGCAGAGAAGCTAGTGTTTATCTCCACTTCATCCCTAATCACCCTCCACTAAAGTCATTGCTTTAACTTGTTCCCACCATACGTTATGCCCAGTCATCACCTCCATGTGTGGCCGAGAGCCAGCGTCATGCATCCAGGTCAGCTTAAATGAGTGCAGCCCCTCCTGGTTCACCAACTGGGGAGCTGCCTGAGAAGTAGAAGCCCAGAGAAGGCGGACCCCAGGTGCGGAGAAGGTCGAGCAGGCAGGTGGGCCCAATTCAGTGGACAAGAGTGAGGTTCCCAGGTCTTGGTAAGAGCCAGTCTTTCCTCACTAGATGCAGCCAGGGGGCGCTGCAGGCTGGGCGCTTTGGGGAAC